ACGATACCGCGTTTACCTACGCCGCCATCTTGACCGGAAGTCCACCAAGGAAGCCTTTTAAAATGCAGATTTCAACCCTGCCATGAGTTTCTGACTCAGTAAGTCTGGGCCCCCAGGTGATTGTGGTAATGATCCAAAATAAGAGGTGATGACAAAGCACTAGTGAGGGTGAGACTGAAAACAACTGCATACTGTCAGCGAAAGAGTGGGAGGCAAAACACCACCAATGAATGATTTGCTTACTTAAGGCAGGAATACGTTAGATCAGGTTTGTTTGTCTGGAACATGGTTCCATCACTGGTAGAAAGGAGATGGGAAGGAGGTGAGCCTAGAGATGGAGGACAGTTTGAGAATGCGTGCTCTGAAAAGGGACCAATCTAAGCAGTGGGAGTGGGTGGACACAAGACCTGGACTTCCAGAGACAGTCCAGGACAGAATGGAGTCCCGGTAGGAATGGAAAAGGGATGGCAGTTAAGGATACAAGTAAAGATTCTAGCTTGGTAGGCCAAGGGCTGGCAAACTAAGGCTGGAGAGGTGAGAATACAGACAACATTTTGGAGATGATGTTTTTGGTGTGAGAAATTTGAATAACCAGCACAGGTTTTTATAGGTGGTGGTAAATATGGCTCTACTGCTCTCCTGGCAGGCTGGGGCTGGAATTATGATTCAGAAGTGATCAGCAGTATGGAAATTGAAGTAAATATATATATTTAATGAGAATAAATGAGGACCAGTGGTGATTGTGGGGACAGTCAGAATGAGTCCTCAGAATCAGACATAACGTTGCAGATACCGCCTGTACCAACACCAAGTTCAGTGAGACATACATTCTTGGTTCTGGAAACTACTTCCGTAATCGGTGAACGGATCTGTGGTTATTTATGGCAATCACATCACTGACATTCGTACTCTGCTAAAAGTGAGCTAAAAACTGTGGATGATTTTCAATTTAGCTATTATTATTTTGTTTTTTTCTTGGCTCTACTGGTACAAATCACTTTACAAACCTACGTATAGTATGTCCCAATTACAACTGCAGCAGACATGATGCTTTTGGTGCAAGAACCAAATACTCCACTAAGGGTAGTTAGTTTATATTCTGAGGACATTTATTTCCCGCGTGTAACTAAAAGTCCAGAAGTATGTGTGGTCAGGGTTGGTTCAGCAGGGGAGCAATGATGAGGAACCAAGACTTTCCCCCCTTTAGTTGCCAGGCTCCATGTCAGTGATTGGTTCATTCATCAAGGAACAGGATGGTGGCAGCAGCTCCAAGCATGAAAACATCCCAAAGCAGGTGTTTTTGGAGAGGTGGGCATTCTGATTCAGAGGCCTACTGTCTTTCTCTTTTGTAAATGAAAATGAAAAATAATTTATGTACAGTATATACATGTAAATGTATATACTGAACGTATATAACTCTTGCAGTTGAGTTTTGTCAAATGCACACACCCACAGAACCTGCATCCCGGCTGATGACACGTTGTCATCACCTCAGAGAGCTACTTAGAGCACTTTCCTAGTTAATCATCACCACTGCCAAGGCTCCTAACGCCACTCGGAGGCAACTACCACTCTTACCTGTTAAATCATTCTTGGTTTGTTTGTTATGAGGGATGGAAATCTTTCCCAGAGGCCTTCTGCCCCCAGCATACTTTACCTTACATCATCTTGGCCAGAAATGTGTCTCTTCTGAGACCTTTAAGTCAATCAGTGACTAAAGAGTCACCCTATTTTAGACCATTTATGATTCATCCATCCCTTAGGGCTAAAGGAGGGGCCATTTGACCTCAGCACACAGCTTCAGGTCCAAATAAAAGAGTGGAGTTTTTTGTTTTTTTTTAAAGCAAGGAAGAAGAATGAAATCGCTGTACATGCGCACACACTTATACTGTTTTGTTACTCTACACATGTGGCCATCCAATATCTGACCTATATTCTTCAAGTTTATTTCACTTGCAAATGTGTTCATTCAAGTCAATGATTAATGGGCTCACATAAGTGCTATCGAGATGATTTTATAGCAGCAAAGAAACATCAATTCACAATTATTCTCTAATCTTAGACTACGTATCAGTTAACACACACCTGATACAGAGAATAGGTTTCATAAAAAGAATGAAATTAACATAGGAATAATAACCTGAAATTATATCCATATGGAATTTTTATGAAAAAGAATTATTTAAATAAAATGTCATCCATTCAAAATACAGCAATACTGAAGTACTGATGACACAAACAAGTGTAGAGACCTCCCTTGAGGTTAACACCAACCAATATTCCAATGTTCTGGTCCAAGTTCTTCACCCAAGTTCAACTATAATCAAATTTATGCTTGTGTGAGCCTGAAACCTCCATTTAGCTCACAGAAATATCATGAAAAACGTGATTCAGCACTCTGACTCTGTTTCCTATACTGGGGTACAGAGGCATGCCAGTGGATACATTTAGCACTTTTTCTCATTGAAAACACCTTTCTGCTGTTTTTATACCTCAGTAGTTCTCATGAGCCTAAGCTTATTCTCAAACATCCATATCTCTGTCGCTCTCGTGCAGTTATCACTTGTTTATGCCCGTTTCCTCTTTTTGCATGTTCTTCTAAAAGCTGAACTCCTGAGAATGATCAGAACAATAACTTGTTCTTAGTTGCCCTTTCATTGTTACTGTTTTTCAGCATGGTGATGATTTCATTGCGAGCCTTCCAATTCTCCTTTAATCTAGCGTCCTCTTGGCTTATATCTGTGTCTGTGATCTTAGGGATTAAAAACAAGAACTGATTTCTAAGCAATGGCCAGTTTATACACCTACCTGTGGCTACCATACTCTTCATTATTAGGGGCCCTAAAATGGCATCGGTACATCCTGTTACAATAATTTCCACAGCTTCTATTTCATCCTTATTGGTTATAGTTAAGTCCATAAAACCACATCCCCCTGTTGCATTATCTACTCTCCCAGAGTGTAAGACCATCAGCAAGATCAGTTAAAAAATGTATCAAACATTCTGCGTTAGCTCCCAGAGTATAGACATGCAGTTTCCAATCAGGATGTCTGCCTGCCTCTAGACCAGCTCTGAAGCTTGTGTTAGGAGAGTAGCTGTCACATTCATCCACCAAACGTATTTGTATTTGGCTCTCACAGTATTACCAGCTGTGTTTGTTCTCCATCATGCTTAAACCTACAGGCTCAAGGATTTCCCAGCAGGGCACTCATCCATTCAGCTCCACAGGTGCGATATTACTTGCACAGCATATAACTTCCTGTTGTCATAGTCCAGAGATTATCTATATCTCAGTAAACTTGTCTTGCCTATCCATGTTCATTATATTTAAAGATTACCTTATTATTTTATCAGCCTTATTTAAAAGGTATGAGTGTTAAAAAGTATCCCTAAAGCTGAAAGAAAGTCAATCACTTTTTAACATGTTAAAAAGAAACCCCTTGCAAAGTACTGCAGGAACCGAAAGAACAAATTTAGGGTACATTTTTTTTTTCTATTTAAAAAATAATTTATTTCATTTTTTTGGGTAGCAGAACTGATATCAGTAGGGTTCTTTTTTCTTTTCTTTTTTTCTGTTGAATCACTGACATTTTCTCAGCTTCCATGTCACCTCCACTTTAAGGACATGTGATATTCTCCAAAGTATTTCATTTTATCATTTTATCTGAGTGTTATTCTTCCCTTCCCTCAAATGTTCGTTTAAAGTTCTCTTTATTAGGTCGGCAAGATTCCTGCTAAGTGCATTTCTCTTACATATAGTCTATCCCTTACAGGGAGTCTGTTGTATTAACAGCATAAGCCCCAGTTAAGAGAACCTAGTTTTGGTCTTCTTTTTCTGTTTTGATAGGGTGCTACTTGATACCATTACCTTTTATTTCTTCTTCCAAGTCATGACCTTAACTGGAAGAAGAGATAAAACACCCCTTCAACACCCACACCAAGTACCTCTTATCATTCGCTGCCTTATGAATCAATAAGAGTAGAATAGGTCTGTAAATTTGATAAGTTTCAGGAAACTCCTAAGGGAACCTTCCGTATCAGTCCATCATGATTTAACTCAATATAAATGAGGAGGAAATACAATGCTTTCCCTCGTTTCCCTCAAGTTGGAGAATTTGATTTGGATGTTTATCCTCTCTTAACTATAAATTTTTAAAGTCCTACATGCATTTACCTAGTGTGGAGAAAATATGTTATAAATTATCAGGCCATGCATAAAAATGTTTAGATAGTATTGTCAAAAATTGCTTTATAGGTTTTCAATATACTGTCCTTTACTGACAATAGCCACCAATGACTACATATATGGGACTTACAATCTGAGGTTGAACTTGAAAGTGTGCCAGACACAAGAGAGACCAAAAAACAGTAATAACGTCTAAAAGGATTTTGCAATTTAAGTAATGTAGCACTCCTGAACACAGACATAAGCATGTATCATATCCCTGCTATAACACCAGACTTCCATGAAAAGGTAGTGCACCCAGCTGACCACAGCACTGGGCTCACATAAGTGCTATTGAGATGATTTTATAGCAGCAAAGAAGCATCAATTCACAATTATTCTCCAATCTTAGACTACGTATCAGTTAACAGACACTTGATACAGAGAATAGGTTTCATAAAAAGAATGAAATTCACATAGAATAACCTGAAATTATATCCATATGAAATTTTTATAAAAAAGAATGATTTAAATAAAATGTCATCCATTCAAAATACAGTAATACTGAAAATTAACAATTTTTTTTTCTTTATCCTCACCAGAGGACATTTTTGCATAGAGCAAGAGGGAGAGAGAGAAACATCAATGTGAGAGAGACACATCGACTGGTTGCCACTCACACGACCCCAACCAGGGCTGGGGACAAACTGCAACCGAGGTACGTGCCCTTAGCGGGAACTGAACCTGGGACTCTCTGGACCACAGGCCAACACTCTAACCTCTGAGCCAAACCGGCCAGGGCTAGCAATACTAAAAATTAAATACCAAACTTACTTTTACTATGATAAGCTTCATTCGGTTTTCACGCCTCTGGTTATCATTTTCTGTGTACTCTACTTCAAACAGGGTATTGTAATTTTCTAGTATCGTAGCCATTATCTTGTTGCAGAGGTCTTGTTCTTTCATGCATGCAAGCCCAGGTGGCACACTAAAAATAAGGGAAACATTTTGAGAGGAATTACTTTGTGAAAACGAGAATGCTAACACAGCTGACTTAGGCTTATATTTTGACATCTCCTCAATGATTGATCAGCCTTCGTATAAGGACACTTGGGATTTTCAAAAAGCTTTATAGTGCCACATATGATGCTGTTGGAACACTTGCTGATTCCCAAGATCTGAGTCAACAGCTTGTGCTGAATAAGAAAAGTACCTGTGGTTCTAAAAGAAGGTATAGGTTAACATGGATGAGATAATGCTTGTATATATTAGAAGTTTCTACATGTAAGGCAACATTTATGTAAAAGTAAAAGTAAGAAAGAACAAGTGTGATGACAAAAATGAGTGTTTTATCATGACAGAAACACTCAGTCACACAAATAATAGCAACATATCTTTAAGGATTTCTTAGATAATGCACGAAACGTACAAAAATTAAAGGAAAAGATGAATGTTGCTGGGGAAAATATTAATCATTGTTGAAGCTGAGTGCTGGGCACATGGAAGATTTATTATACTATGCTGTCTTCTGAGTATGCTTAAACTTTTGCATGATTAAAAAAAGGTGGAAAAAAAACCCCACCTCTGAATGCAGAAGACACCATACCATAAATAGGATAAACATCTCTTCAGTAAGTTCAGTAGTTAGATATATAAAGAATTCCTACTAACAATAAGAAAGTGAATTAAAAAAAAAGAGAGAGACAAATATGAGTTGAAAACTTATAGAAGAAAACACCTGGATAGTCAATAATCTTATAAAATGATACTTAGCCTCTTTGCATAACTAGTAAAATAAGTTTAAAAAGTAACACTAAAATGTCATTTAATACCCATCTGTATTAGTTTTGTGTGGCTGCTGTAACAAATTATCACAATCTGGGTGGCTTAAAACAACAGAAATTTAGTCTTGCACAGTTCTGGAGGCCAGAAGAGCAAAATCGGTATTACTGGGCAGAAATGAAAGTGTGAGCAGGCCACCCTCCCTATAGAGACCGAGGGGAGCTGTTCCTAGCTCTGGTGGCTGGCAGCATGCCTGGCTGTGAGTGCACCATTTCAATCTTCAACCAAGACGGCATTTTCAAATGTCTCTCTGCTGTGCCTTCACAAGGCCTTCCTCTATGTGCATGCATCTAATCTCCCTCTACCTCCTTCTTATCATGATACATATAATTGCATTTAGTGCCCACTCAGATAACCCAGGATACTCCCCTTATCTCAATATATCTATCTTAATTAGGACTGTAAAGTCTTCCCACCTCCCCACCCCCACATGAGGTAACATTTACAGTTTCCATGGATTATCACTTGATATCTCTGGGGGACATTATCTACCCTGCTATAACACTTTTGGGGTACATATCCTAAGTTGATGCCCATGAGTCACACTCTTATACTCCCCTCAGTGTAGACAGAATCTGACTTGCTTCTGATCAACAGAATATGGTAAAGGTGATAGAATGTCACTCCCCTGATTATGTTATATTATACAAGATTCAGTCTTAGCAAATTTGTGTGGGGAGTCTGCTGCTGGCCTTGCAGAAATAAGCTGCCATGATCAGAAAGGGACTAGGAGAGAGCCATGTGACAGGGGACCATGTGGACCTGAGGCCTCTAGCTCACAGCCAGTAAGGAGATGGTCCTTAGCCATGCAGCTGCAAGGAAATGAGTTCTACTAACAACCTGAGTGAGTTTGAAAGCAGATTCTTCCCTAAACTCAAGCATCAAAATGAAAAGGGAACCCACTCTCTGGGAGACATATTTGCCAATGATACATTGGATAAGGGGTTAATTTCCAAAATATATAAAGCACTCATACAACTCAACAAAAGGAGGACAAACAATCCAAATAAAAAATGGGCAGAGGACTGCATAGACATTTCTCCAAAGAAGACATACAAATGGCCAAAAGAGGCATGTGAAAAAATGCTCATCGTCACTAATCATCAGAGAAATGCAAATTAAAACAACTATGAGGTATCACCTCACACCTGCCAGAATGGCTGCCATCAACAAATCATCAAACAACAAGTGCTGGCGAGGGTGTGGAGAAAAGGGGACTCTAGTACTCTGCTGGTGGGAATGCAGACTGGTGCAGTCATTATGGAAAATATGGTGTTTCCTCAAAAAATTAAAAATGGATCTGCCATTTGACCCAGTGAATCTACTCTAAAATATATCTTAAGAAGCCTGAAACACCAATCAGAAAGAATATATGTACCCCTATGTTCATAGCAGCACTATTTACAATAGCTAAGATCTGGAAACAACCCAGATGCCCATCAATAGATGAGTGGATTAAAAGGCTGTGGCACATTTACACAATGAAATACTATGCAGCTGTAATAAAAAAAGATCTCTTACCCTTGGAGAGGACATGGAGGGACCTGGAGACCTAGTATGCTGAGTGAAATAAGCCAATCAGAGAAAGACAAGGTCCACATGATCTCACTTATATGTAGAATCTAATGAACAAATTAAACTGATGAACAAAATAACCAGAGACATGGAAGTAGGGAACAGACTGAGAAACCTCAGAGGGAAAGGGGGTAGGCGAGTGAGAAGAGATAAACCAAAGAACTTACATGGATGTATGCATAACCAATGGACACAGACAACAGGGTGGTGAAGGCAGAGGGGGCAGTGGGGGGGAGGGTGTCAATAGGAAAAAAAGAGGAATATTTGTAATACTTTCAACAATAAAGATACATTAAAAAAGAAAATGCAGCCCAGCTGATACTTTGCTTTCAACATTGTGAGATCAAAAGAGAGGACCCAGCTAGGCTGTACGTGGATACCCAACACATGGAAACTGTGATATAGCAAATGTTTGTTGTTTTAAGCCACTAATTTTGTATTGCTTTGTTCATAATAATTAAAAACTAATACAGAATTTGGTACCTGGAAGTGGGGTGCTGCTGTTAACAAATATCTAAAATAAAAAACAATGTAGAGTTTCCTACAAAAGAATAAAACATGAAACTGTCTTATGACCCAATTCTGGGTAAATATATCTGAAGAAACCCACAACACTAATTTGAAAGAGTATATGTACCCCTATATTCATTGTAGCATTATTTACAATAGCCAAGATGTGAAAGCAACTCAAGTGCCCATCAGTAGATAAGTGAATAAAAAAGCTGTGGTACACATGCAGAACAAAACACTACTTGGCTATAAAAAGGAATGAAAGCTTACCATTACTGACAGCATGGATGAACCTAGAGGGCATTATGCTAAGTGAAACAAGTCGGATGGACAGTGACAAATGCTATATGATTTCACTTATATGTGTAATCTAAAGAACAACAACAACAACAACAAACAAACAAAACAGAAACATAGAGAATAGACTGGCAGTTGTCAGAGGGGAGGGAGGTTTTGGAGGCTGGTGAAAAAGGTGAAGGGATGAAGTACAAATTGGCAGTTACAGAATAGTCAGAGATGTAGATTATAGCATGGGGAATGTAATCAATAATATAACTATGTATGGGGCCAGGTGGGTACTTGAAAGATCAGGGAGACCACTCTGTAAAGTACATGATTTTCGAATCACTATGTTGTATATTGAAACGAATGCATAATAATTGGGGGAAAAAAGCTTATCAATTTTAAATTTACTAATTTTTAAAAAACAAACATGGCAAAAACAAATGAAAAAAATAAAGAGAGAATTCTTGGAAGATGGAGGAGTAGGAAGCACCAGAAATCTGTCTTCCCACCTAGACAATAATTGCACTAGCAGAATCTGACAAAACTATTTTGAAATTCTAGACTTTATTGAAGGCTTGCAAATCCCAGGAAAAGGCTTGGATGATAAATTGTGGTTAATTTTGGCCAATTGCAGCATTTAGCTCAGTAATAACTAATGAAAGCACTCCTGCCCCTGGCCACAGCCAATTGGCAGGCAGATGAGCCTATATTCCTAGAGTAGCCTGCACATAGTTTGCAGGAGCCAGGATAGGTAAAAGAGACCCTGTCCTCCAAATATCAGGGTTCCGTGCCCTGAATGCTGCTTCTGAGGTGCAAAGAGTGGGCAGCTATTGTTGTTGCACCTCCCTCCCTTGTTGCACATTCTTGGCTGAAGTGACTTCTAGGGGATTTAGAGGGCTGGCACCTTTAGCCACCCCTCCCTTTGTGTTTTTGCTATTTTCCCCTCTGGGGAACCAGGAATTAAAGATCAGGACATTTAAAAACAACTGAATATATAAGGAAAATTATAAAGTGACAGTTTATACCCATGGATAGGCTTAAAAAGACCCTAAGTTTACATTTCAGGTTGATCTTGGCATAAAGATGTCTATAACAATTAAACAACAAAAAAAATAAAAATAAATAAATAAAAACAACAAACCCTGGGGAAAAGGGAGAATCTGATGTCTAGAGTTATCACATCAATAGATTCAAGTGTCCACTGTTCAATAAAAAAAATCACAAAGCATATAAAGAAACAGAAAAGTACATTTTATTCAAGAAACAGAGAAACAAACATATTGACAGAAACTGTCCCTAAAAAAAATCTGATGGTCTATATACCAGATAAAAATGTTAAAACAACTGTCTTACATGTGCCTCAAGAAGATAAAAAAAGATGTGGGAAAACTTAAGAAAATAATGTGTGAACAGAAATGGAAATAGCAATAAAAAGAAATAAAATCCAAAAAGTTGAAAAAAATTCTGGAGATGAAAAGTACAATAACTGCAATTAAAAATTCAATAAAAGGATTCAAAGGCATATTTGAGCAGGCAGAAGAAAGAATCAGTGAACATAAATATAGGATAATGGAAATTGTTGAATCTGAGGAACAGGAAAAAGGAAGATTAAGAAAAGAAAATAGAGCCTAATGAACCTGTGGGACACTAGCAAGTGGACCAATATGTATATTATGGGAGTACCTACCAGACAGAGAAGAAGAGAAGGGGGATTTGGGGCACGCAAGGAGGGGGGAGGAGAGAGGGGGAGGGAGGGGGAGGGAGGGGCAGGCGCAG